TTATTTTCAAATCGGGTGGTGCAAAGTGTGTTCCGGCACCTCCACTAGGTCTCATTTATCTTGTATGAAGTGTGGCCAAGGGCCAAACGGTCATTTGAAACCATTTCCTAATTTTGGTTTCCATATTTTCCATTTCAAGTTCATTTTCGCTTTTTTGGCCGTTGGGGGGTCGGATTTTGACTCGGCCATTTTCGGGAGTCGCGGACCATTCCCGCGAGCTCAAAATCACCATTTACGTCTGCGTGCATGATCGTTTCTGGGAAATACCTCTTCATTGGCAATTTGAGCCTCCTAGGGATTCATTTTGCATTTTTTTTTCCATAATCTGGTTTAGGGGCACTTTGGGGTTTTCCTTCAGGAAATAAATTCCAGTCTCCTCATAGTCATTTAGAAAACCTGATTTTAGGGGGGGTTTATTTTTCGTGTTTTTCCAGAAAATGTCGTCTTGGTGCCGGAAATCGATCGCAAAGTTCAGCTTTCTATTTTTTTTAGCAGCTTTTTGGACCTCCATGACCAGATTTCATGGAGGGGCATTTCGGGCATTCTACATTGCATTTTTTTTTAATTCTCTTGTGATTCATGTAGAAAATTCAATTTTGAGGGGGGTTTATTCTTTGTCTTTTTCCAGAAAAATTCATCTTCTAGCCCGTTTTTGCTCTCAGTTGCAAACAGTCACTGTAGGAACTTTTAACCCTCTTGTTCAGTTCTGATCTAGGGGCATTTTGGGAATTTCACAGTAAGTTTTTTTTTATTCCGTCCACGAAGTCGGGTAGAAAACTCGATTTTAGGGGGGGTTTCTTCTTTGTGTTTTTCCAGAAAAATTCGTTTCGGCCTCCGTTTCAAGTCTCAGTTCTGGAACCTCACTTTTTTTTTCTTGCTGTCAGCTGATGCATGCCATTGGGCACCGGCATGGGCGCCGGTGGGCTCGTGCATGGGCACCGTGTGCGCTATGGCCTTCGTCGGGCTGCCGCGACGTCTCAATTTCAAACCCTCGTTTCTCTCTCGTCCGGACTCTAAATCGAGTGAAATTTTTTTTGAACTTTACTAATTTTTCGTTGTCTTTCCAACAGTGTGCTCGGTTGCACCCGGATCTTCTTGAATAATTACCAGTTTACCCTTTTAGCCTTAAGTGCTCGTTTTTCTTCGTCAGGCCGTTTCTCCTTCGTCCGGACTCCGAATCATACGATTCTTGAGTCCATCTTGATTATTTTTTTGTTGTCTTTTTAGCGGTGTGCTTGGTGGCATCGGAACCCATACTTTCAAAAATGACTATTTTGCCCCTAGGGGCTTATTTGTCATATTTTCGATCTTTTGCTTCTGTATCAATTCTCATTGAGTTCCACGACCTCATGGAAGGTCACTTTGATTTCTTAGGGTCTTAGAGGTTTGTTATGCCTTGGGAGACCGTTGTCTTGTTTCTAACTTCCGCATCTTGGATCCAGTTCGAGTCATCACAGGACACAATAGGTTGAAAAATCCAGGGTCGTCACACAAATCATGCCTCATCAATAAGCTTTATATACTAAATCTTAACATTTTAGTAATAAGCCTCTAAAATAATTGCAATTAACAACCAACAAGTATATAGAATTATCATTACAATAATTATAGTAATTCAATTTAACAAGACTTGCATATAACATCAATAATTCTATAAGAGTTCTATATCACTACCACATGTGAAAAATACTAGTATCTAGCATACCACTAAATCATATACTCTTTCTACACAAGATATATACATATCATACATGCTTAAATCAATAAACCCTAAGTCAAGATGTGAGGGTTTCCTATAATATGCAAGACTATCATATTAAAAGCATGTACACAATATATATTAAACCCCAAAGGACTTAAAACACTTGAAGTATAAACATACTACCACCCCTACCTCAATAGAGAATTGAATCTCTATAATCCAAAGCAACCAAACTCAAAATGGAAAACAAATCTAGGGTTTTGAAGAGAAGAGTGAGAGGAAATTTTTATCTCCCAAGGTTAATGGTCTAAGGTGAGTGGATGTAGGCCAAAATGAAGAAATAAGCTATTAACTAAGCTTTTCTCCAATGGTGACTAGGTTAGGGTTTTGAAGAACAAAGAAATGAAAAAGATGAAAGTGAAAATGGTGAGTAGAGGATCTAGTATTCCTCCACTCACTATGTACTCTTACACTACCTCTTATACACACACGCAATGCAAGACTAATTTGTGAGCCTACACTTGTCACAAATCAATGGCTCCTTCTTAGGCTTAATCTTAAGCCTACACTTGTCAATCATCCAAGCCAACAAGTGCACCAATCCTAGGCCAATAAGTGGATGAATCTCTACCCTCCAAATGTCACAAGATTATGCTTCCAAGTCCCCCCACCCAAATGCCAACAAGTGGCTCCATGAGAGTATACCACTTGTCACACTTTCCAAAAATTACAAAAATGGTCCTTTTCCAAAATATCTTCCAAATAAAATTACAAGATGGTCCCCAAGACGAAAAATAATTATTTTACATAATTACACTAAAATCCCAAAATCAAGAATAATTACAATAAAGTATACATCCAGCCTTTTTACGAAAAAGTAAGCAACTAGAATGTATTTTCTACAAAAGAAAAAATACTATTATCATAGAAGTTAAATATCATGGATGTATGCAAAGCCGGAATCAAATTCGAGCACGAAAAATGAGGTTATGCAAGGAAAAATGATAAATGGAAAAAACACAAAATAAGGAAAAGGACGAAAAAAGAAATCACCGAAAAAATAAAGGAAGGAAAATGACCGGGTCATTACATGCTTAAAACATAACAATAATAATTAAAAACATGTAACGATAAATACTTGCGGAAGCCATTACGCAACGTGTAACAAGAAAGCACAACCACCAGCGAGAAGTAGAACAATGTATAAGATTTGCAAAAAGGACGTTTTGCTTGATCACTAAACTCATGAGTCTATTTAATAGGGCAAGACTAACCAAATGTAAGCATATAGTATGAGAGTGGGGACCAAACAATATATATAAAATATCTAATAAAATCACTCCCATCAAGGGATCTTTATCAGATCACAACAAACCCAACGTAACGTGGGTTATGTTTAGCGCATTATAGGTAACCGTATATAATGCTAATATATATTATATATATTTATATCCTTATCCATATCTCATAACAGATGATTACATGTGACTAAGGTACACCATAACCTATATATTCAACAATCATAATTGTATTGGTATCCGGCAATCTGTATTTGGTTTCAATCATCAATTCGGGTTTTCATATTATTAAATGATAATCAATCGAAGCCCAAAAATTCTTACATCCATTTGATTAAATGAAAATTAATAATGAAAATTGAAAGTAAAAGAAAATGAAGTGAATGCAAGAAAAATTAATTTTTGATGGAGCATTTGATTGAAGGATATTAACATTCATGTACATTAAACTTTTTTCAAATAAGAGTAGATCTTGATCTAGTTTCTTTGATTTAGTTTCAAATCAAAATATACATTATAGACATGTGAATATAATAAGTTCAATTTCTTGGAAATCGTATTTTATTTTTTAAACTCTAAAGACAAATAAGTCCTATAAAATCAACGGGTCAATGGCCTAACAGTATCAGTCTCTTACTTTCTAAAGGGAGTTCAGGGGTTCAAGTTTCAGAAGAGACAAGTGTGTGTGAGATTCAGTTAGAAAAAAAAAAAAAAAAAAAAAAAAAATTTACTTTCTAAAGGGAGTTCAGGGGTTCAAGTTTCAGAAGAGACAAGTGTGTGTGAGATCCAAATAGGAAAAAAAAATAAATAAAGTCCTATAAAATATTTCCAAAGACAAAGAAGTCCTATTTTTAAAAAGTATTTCCAAAAACAAAGAAGTCCTATTTTTTAAAAATATTTCCAAATAAGTCCAGTTTCAATGAATAATGAATATTTTTTCAAGATTACCCTTTATTGCGAAGCAAGTACTACTACCCCTTTTTTTTTTTTTTTTCCCATCAAAATGCAAATTTTCTCTTTACTTTCAAGTTTGTAACTAATAATTTTTTTAAAAAATTTAATTTAAAAAAAAATTATTTGTTACCAAAATAACTAATCTTAAAAAATTAATAAAGTATGTCAAATGCACTTTTCATAAACACTCACATGCTAACATATGAAGTAGAAAATTTAAAAAGATTGGAAATAATTCGAAATGTATTTAATGAAAAGTTTTTCATTGTATTTTAACATGTGAGTGTTTACGAAAGGTGTATTTGAAATACTTTATTAAAATATGAATTAAATCTTTATTACAAGTTATCAAATTTGTCTTAAATTTTGAGGATTTTGATTTGCTTTTTAAAAGTTATATATATATATTGTACAAAATCGAGTAGTCTATATAAGAATTTTGTTGATAAAGGTTCTTGCTTTGTAAAAAAAAAAAATGTGCATATAAGGTTGTGTGTTTTTTTATTTGGGGAATTAAAGTGCATAGGATTTTCCACTTCATAACCTGTGTAGAGATAGAGAGCACCTTGAGGAATCAAACAACTACAAAGCAGAAACTCAAGGTGAGGTGATAAGGCTGATCTGGGGGAGAGAGTTTTCAGTCCAAAAAGAATATGAAAACCTCCTCGATCCATACAATTATAATGGGAGTTTTCAGACAATTGGAAACTCGGTTAATGGACACAACACCATTATTGAAGTTTTATTCAATTTGATGATGTGGATATAAGTCCGGGGTATAAGAAGAATACCATGTGTCAAATTCTTATTAATCACCCATATTTTGGAAACATAATCCTATAATAAATTATGGAGACCTCCAAAGAAATCATAAAGATTGTTGAAATGGGCTTATAAGCACACATTCCACAATTTTTCCAAGTCAATTCTCAATTCTCAATTCTCAATTCTCCATGTTCTAACCACAACTAGAATTCAAATGAAGCCAACAAATAACTGTGTGTTCTCTTGTTATTTTATAAATAAAAAAAATTAAATTACACTGACCAAACAAATGGTTGAAAATGAAACTAAAGAAGAACAGCTTCAGCTTATAAACCAATTCATATACAAACTTTAGAAATGAATGGAACTATATACCTTACCTTACCTAACTAAACTGCAATTAATTCACTTATCAAGACACTGTTTGTGTCAACCAATGAATCTAAAATAAATCTTCTATCTTCTTGGTGTATAAAAAAAAATGAATTATATCTGCATATAGTACCCCCTTCCTTCCTCAATAGTTCTCTGGGGGGCCTTCAAATCGAATGTAGTCATACATGACCCCCATGAAAGGGCCTGAACCTCTCGACTGTGTTAGAAAGATTATGTTCCTTCCATTGGAAAGCTTCGAGCCAGAGATATCAACATTATACAACCTGTACAACCCATGAATCCCATGTCTTGCAATCGCATTTTCTCTCCCTATAAGCCCTGTCGTAAAGTTAGGTCGCGCCACTTTTGGGTCGTTTAGCCGAACCTTCAGAGAAAAAATAAACCATAAGCAAATCATATTAAACTTGACCATGTTGCTGCATTAATCTGTACATAACCTAAAACATCAGGTCTCAAGATCAATTCCTCTGGACGGAGCCAGAATTTGGGCTCAGGGGCACAACTCTTAGCTTGTGCATAAACCGATACATACAAAGGCTAATAACAAAACTGAGGTAGGTATTTTCTGATATTACAAAAGATATTTATGGTATTTTGTGCTATTATAAGAAATTATCTATATAATGTCAGGGGGCAGCTGCCCCATGCGGGCATTATCAGCCTTCGTCCCTGCCTAGGTCTATACAATTTCTTAGGGGGTCATGTTAGAGACATAATCTGAGTTTTAGGGAGCTCTTTGCACGAGTCCTATAGATTAGTTGGACAAAATCCCAGACACCCCAATTATCAAAAAAGTGTCCTTTGTTAGGAAAAACATTGAGGAATGATAATATAGCGCAGTAAAAAATAGGTTGCATACTTGCAGTTCAGCCATAGTGGCCGATGCCAACGCCAATCGGAGTGTATAAGTTCCCATTGGATTCACATTTTTTAGATCGAATACAATTTGCCATGTGGTTGATACATAAGTTTTATTTCCCAAGTTCCTGTAAAAAAATAAATAAAAAATCAATTAGAACCACATCTTTCAACATCAACAAGCTTCAGGTACTGAAAAAGTTGAATCAAACACCTGTTAACATGAGCAAAAAACCAATCTTTTTTGTAATCACTAACGCCAACAGTGTAGATGAGATCATTGTTAGGATACAAATCTGTATACCGATCCCATAACCCATATTGCCTAAACCTGGTTAAAAAAATATTAAATAAATAAATAAATTAATTAATTAAAATTTTAAAAAATAATAATTTAAATAAATAAAATTGGATGAGAAGCTTGATAAGAACTAACTTGTCTGTATGGTTGTTGTAAAGCCGGTTCATGAGGGTTGAAGCTGGGTCAGGCACGTAGAACTCAGCCGCGGTCCGGTCAGGGACGCCTATTTCCCAGAGGGTAGGACCACTTCTTAAAGGATAATATATGAGGTCACCCAATTTGATTTCAGATCCTGTTTGTGAAAATCATATTGATAATGGTATTGTGTGAGCAAGTTGGCTAAGATATATATATGTATGGAAATCAATGGAGTGTTGGTAAGTGTAGAAGTATAAACCTGGTGTCACAGTAACTTGAACATTGTACAGGTAGTCCCCAATAACACCAGGTACCCATGCATACAAGCTATATTTCCCGGCTCGGACGCCTTTAATAGAGAATTTACCCTTTGCATCAGCTTGAGTCCAAAACTGATAACCCTGTAAATTGAAGTTTTAACGACCATTTACTCTAAAAATTTAAATTGATAGAGAAAATATAACTTTAATATTCTTATATCATTTAACATTTATAGTGTTTAGGAATGACAAATTATCCTGTCGTGGCAGGTACCCGCCCCGCCCCGCCCCCTCCCCTATTGGTGTGTTTAATCAAAGCTAGGGTGTGGGAAAAAAAAAATAACCGTGTATCAATGAGGGTGTGGGAATGTACAGGGATAGGTACCCTATCCGCCCATTTATATTGCATAATTACTTAAATAACCTCATATAATACTAATAATACGAAAATATATCTTGTAAACTAAAACATTAAAATCCTAACATCTTAATTTTTTTTACCATTTCATACGCTCGTATCCTTTCAATTATTTTTTTCAAAAAATTTGTTAAATGGAGCGGGTCCTGATCGACAAGGACGGAGTGTGAGAATTTAAACAGGGGCAGAGACGGGAGACGGGGGACTTTTGATAAACAATTTTGAGCGGGAACGAGTTTTACTTTGTTAAACAAGGACAGGGATGGGAAAAAGGTGCCAAACCCGCCCTCATTGTCTTTTCTAACTTATAGATACGGTCTACTCTAAAAGTTTAAATTGTTAAAGAGGTGTAAAGGCACATTGACCGTCTTTATACATTGAAAAGCGTGTAAGCAACGAAGATTCACCTTGTTTTCTTCTTGCCATGATCCTGCATCTCCTGGTGGAGCAAACCCTATGTAAGCTGAGCTTGCTGGCATAAGTTTACTGTCCTTGTACCTGAAATTTAGAGAATTTGCAAATTTGCAGTGGCTTCAATAATGTTATACATGATAATGTTGAAATATATATATATATTTAAGTGGGTGTTGGAGAGGAAGGATATGTACTTGTCGCGGACTAGTAATCGTCCATGAACTGTGCCCCGTTGATCGGCATGAGGGAAGTCTTCCGAGAGCGGGAAATTATATGGCCAGTTATTCATTTCTGTATGCATCTGAGAAATATACAAAATGTGAGTTTAGAGATCACTAAGAGTTCATTATACAAAAATGCACCATCTATATATGTGTACATATGTAGACATATATATATATATATATATATATATATATATGTTTGTTACCTGTGATTTAGCATCTTCCCAAAGGTTTTGCTGGTGGCGTTCATCGTTTGAAACAGAGTTTAGATAGATAAAAACAGGGCCGTAGACCTTTTTCCATGGCTCTCCATTTCGGAGTTTTAATGTCAAAGGCTCTCCTGCATAATGGGCACTGAAAAACATCTGGACATAGATAGCATGATTTTAGAATACCTAAGATATATATATATATATATATATATATATATATATATATTGCAATTGTTGTTATAATACATCAATAAATATTTGAAAATTTTGAGTTTCAAGTGTGGAGCATTGTATTGTACACGTAAAGCTATTTACTATGTTGAATTACTATGTAGCTCTAATTCTATACGAGTATAGTGGGGTCGTTGTTGATCATTGAATGGGTAATTGAATGGGTAATGATAGGGAACATATACAATTTATTTTATGTGAGCAGAGGTTATTGTCTATTAATAATATTAGTTATCTTTGCATAAATAGGAATGTCAACAAGGTGGGTTCGAGATAAGATATCCCTTTAACAAACTATAAATTTTTTTCCAAACCGGATTCCTAAGCCCCGACGGGTTGAGGACTCCATGATATACATAATTTTAAAAAAAAAAAAAAAACACAATTCAAAGTTGAATAAATTTAAGATAAATTTTGTAAATTTATTGTAGTTCATTAAAACATTTAACAATCATAATAACAAAAATGTTATTAAAATTTAAAATTATTATAAGAAATAAAGGAAACATAAAAATTATGGTTAGTAAAATAATATTTATTTATATATTAATTATTAGTCGGGCTAAATATCCATTCCTAACAGTTATTTAAATTGTTCAGGGCCATGGACTTTGTATTGGGCCTGGACTGTTATTTAAATTGTTAAGCTGATTTTCAAAAGTTGTTGGGCCTAGTTCATCGGTTTGGCTAGGTTTTGACCCATTATGCCCTATTTTTTACACAGAGTATATAATTGCTTGAATTTTCAGAAGACCAAAAAAAATAAAAATCTAATTATAAGTATTTTTTATTTTAAACTTAATAAAACTAAAATTTATTGCAAGATAATTTTATATGGAATACTTACTGCTAAAGTTGTTGGGCCAACGTGGGAGGTGAGCTCTTGCTTGAGAGGCCCACCAGCACGAAACTCATCACTAGGTGTGATTACCCAGAATCCTACGCGTGGGTTGGAACTGATCCACCCATGAACCCGGTTGTCTTTGTTATTACTTGAGTACTGGTACTTGTCATCCACCTAAGAAAACAAAGCATAAGAAAGTATTACATGCAAGTCACATATATGAAAAATATATAATAAAAAAAAAAAAAAAAATTGGTATAGTTTTCAGAAACCATTTCTTGTTTTCAAAAATTGACATTGAAAATGAGGTGAAAAAACTCAGTTGTTGAATATTTTAAGAATTTATTTTGAATCCCGTAAGTGGAAAGTTATTGATAAGTTATATAATTGGGAGTATCGAATTGACGCCTTGAAATTAAAATTTGATTAGAGAAAAATTTTAAACTAAATTTCTCTTGATTCTAATTTTTAATTAAAAATTAAAAATTAAAAAGAGAGAAAAATGCAATAAAAATGATTCGAGACCTACCTCCCCTTTGAGGTCTGGATTTTTCGGATTCGTTAACAGAACTGCTTCCTTGTAGTCTAGGGTTTTACCACTGTAGCGGTCTTGGTCCGTAGGCATGATCCTTTGCCTTTTATCCGATATAGCCATATAATGGAACCTATTCATAAATTATACGTATAAATCTTTTAACATTATTCAGCACACAAACTCTTCCGTCCCGCATATATCGGGTAATTATCCGTCCAAAAAAAATTTTGAAAAAATTTATTTGAGTTTCAAGGAAAAAAGTTCTATAAATTTTCTCCACACTAAATGCGTTATTCAATGCAAAACAAACAATTAAATATTGAAGGACAAGTTTGAAAATATTTTCAAATACGAGGTTAGATTCTTTATAATATAATTAAAATAGGAAGCAAAAGTGTGTAGTATATTACTGTTCTCGTTGAAGCTTGAATGCAATCCTTGTTTGCATAATGGACAGATCTGGCCATCCCTCGTGGCGCTCGTATATCGCATATGAGTAGAAACCAGGACTACCACGCAGCATTATAAACCTGCATAGGCATTTACAAATTTACATAATAAATTCTCTCCTGATCAGTACGTTTTACTTGCAAATTTAAATTCACATAAAGTGATTTCTATCCTCCCGTGTGCACAACACTAATTATACGACGAAAAATTTACCTTTTGTCTATGTTTAGTGGAATGGTTTCAGAGTCATTGTTCCATGTTCTTGAGAATGAGAGCTCTATTTGGTTTTCATCTTCCATTATCACCCTGAAATTGGTTCCTTCTATCCTGTAAAACAGCCATTTTATGTCATTTTTGGAGAGAATTACGTTTTATACAGTGAAAATTTTAATCAGAAATGCTACCAAACTTACTGGTAAAACCTGCTATCGACATGTCCCGAGCTCCAAACGACATCCCAATACCTAAAATTTTAGAATTTAATAAATAACAAATACGCATGGATTTGAAGAGTAAACGGACCTTGATTTTAAATTATTACCTAAGCATCCAATAACATGCCTATGTTAATAGAAAAAATTAACATTATAAGCACTTTATGATAATTTTTGGAGTACACGCAGTTTGTTTGGATATAAAATATTTTTAAAAATATATATTTATGTTTAAAATAACACAATAATAGTACATAATTTCAAGGATGTGTTTGACTAAGAAAAAGAGTACATAATTTCAGGACCTATATGACAGAGAGAGAGAGAGAGAGAGAGAGAGAGGAGTTGTTTGTTTCTCTAACTACAATAATGGTAGGTCTTATATGGTTGAAGGATGTATTTGACTATTATAAGGATTAGAGTACATAATTTCAAAGACTTAATATATGTGTGTGTGTGTGTATGAAAACTAGGGCTAATATAAAAAGCAATTGAACTTACCCTCTGGCTTTTTCATTATGACCGTCTTCCAGTAAATTGTCAATTCCACCATATTCTATCCCAGTCACCATACCCATAGGATTTGACAGAGTCACTTTGACGAGCCCATTATCCATCACCACCTGACAAAAAAATATATACATATATATATTATTATAATATATAGCCACTTCATCCATAAAAGTTTTTCTTTGTCTTAGCTTAAGTATTGATTAAAATAAAGCTGTTAAATGATAATTTTCATGACTAACAACGTTCCAAATTCATTAAGTTGTAGTTCATAATGTGAAATGTCAAACTCTAGGTCAATGTTGTTGACTTAACTATTACTGCTCTATATATATATATATATATATATATATACTAATAATTAAGTTTTTTTTTCTTTTTTCAAAAATTATAATAATTAAGTTTGAGAATATGAATTTACATGTTCATCCAGTCTTTGCAAAAAGAGTGGAGGAGATGAGATCAGTTCTCTGCCGTTGATGTTCTCGGAAATAGTTCTGCATGTTGAACAAAACAAACAGTGTCTTAGATTAATGTAGAGACGTATGAAATAATATAGGACAAACAGTGTCTTAAATTCACATGAATTCTTCTTGAATTAAAATTAGGAAGGGAAAAAAATAATTTAAATAAATGCCCTCCCCAAATAAGTAAAGGTAAGTCAAATTTACCATTTTACCCTTGAATAAATAAAAAATAGGATTTTAAAAAAATAAATAAACAAACAACGTTAATTTCAAGAAGTGATTTGCAGAATTTCTTAATACTTAATTTGAGGGAGTTATGTGCAAAAATATACTAGATGGTGAAAGTTGGGAGTGTTTTTTTGCAGTTTATTCTTAAAATTATGGGTATCGGAGTCATCTGAATCCAATTTTTACCAATATATATATATATATATATATATATGAGTAACAGACAACACAAAAGAGAAAACACGAAAACTCAATTTGATTTGGCTAAGCCATGCCAGAGTTAAAAAAGAAAGAATTCTCTCTTACATGGTAATATATATATATATATATATAATATACTAGATGGTGAAAGTTGGGAGTGTTTTTTTGCAGTGTATTCTTAAAATTATGGGTATCCGAGCCATCTGAATCCAATTTTTACCAATATATATATATATATATATATATATATATATATGAGTAATAGACAACACAAAAGAGAAAACACGAAAACTCAATTTGATTTGGCTAAGTAATGTCAAAGTTAAAAAAGAAAGAATTCTCTCTTATATGGTTAGTATAAAAAAAAAAAATAAAAAAAATAAAAAAATATAAAACATGGTGCTTCCTCTTTCCCCCCATAAAGAGGAAGCTAAAAACTCTCCAAAATTGGAGGGAAAGAGTAAAAGAGAATAATCCTAAGTACGGACACTCCTCCTAGGAGTCCCGTACTTGGACACTTTTCGAATACGGATACGCGTGTCTGAGGCTCGGACTCGTACCCGACACTTTTGTGAAGTGTCCAGAAATTATTTTTTATTGGACACCGGGTGAACACTGCTCGGACACACAGGGTATATTTTGTAATTTTTTTTAAAGATAAATAGGATACATGATGTAATTTACTAATTTTAAAAGTTTAAAAGTAAAATTTTGAAAAAAAAAAAAAAAAAAAAAAAAAACAACGGACAGAAAATTTATTTTCTCTCACTTCCTCTCTCAGTCTCTCCTCTTCTTCAATTATCTCTCTACATTAACAAGACATTTTTTTTTTTTTTTTTTTTTTAAAGTTACATGAACAAGACTTTGTGAAAAACTGAAAGTATATATGTTTATTTATGTACATATTTAGCCTATTATAGCTACGTCTCTTCTGCACATCTTCGTTTGGAATTTGAATTTTTTTCTGATTTGTCTTGTTTATATTTTTCTTATAATAGAGATGAAATTATTAAAATTGGTCCTGTTATTTGTTGTTATTTTATTTGCAATTTTGTATTTATATATACCTGTTTGTTATTAGGAAAATGAATGTGCAAGGTTCTAGTAATTATATTTTGAATATATAATTATATATATATATAATTTTATAGGCGTATTCCCGCCCCGTCCGTGTCCTATACCGTATCACCGTATTCATGTCGTGTCGTACCTGTGTCCGTGCTTCATAGAAATAATCACAAATTACAAAGTAAAAATTCCTATAATTATAAATATAACAGTTAAAACTAACTTAACTATTGCTTTTAACAAGATTTAGGATTTTGGTAATAAAAAGGGGAAAAGTTTTTAGTTTGCCATTAGTGAGGGGAAAGTTTTTTCTTTTCTCTTTTTCCTTTTTAGTTATACCATACAAGAGTGGACTCCTTCTTGTTTAACTCTGAAATTAGCCAAATTAGATTCGGAGTTTTCTCTTTTGAATTGCCTATCATATATATATATATGTGTGTATATATATTTATATACTTTTGATCCAACTATAGTAAGGAAATTAGAAGTATGGTAACAAATATAGTATAGGAACAACTAAAAATGTTATAGTTGGAACGCCTTGTTTATTTTATTATAAATTGTCTTCATCATCGTCTTCGTCACCCTACTCTTAGAAGTTCTTCCGTACACACACCACAAACACACACACATATATGTATACACACACACATATATATATATACACACACACAAACACACACACACATATATATACACACACACACAAACACACACATATATATATACACACAAACACACTTATATATATTTAGGGGAAAAAAAAAAGAAAAAAGAAACACATGTATATAAGTGCATGGTGGTGTGTGTATATATATAGAGAGAGAGATTTAGAAAGGAAAAACAAACCTGACGGGTCTTGCAGAAGATTGAGCAATCAAGAACAACTGAACAACAATCCAAATCCATCCAAACACACCCCATTGCCTCTCCCATCCAACTCTCTCCATTTCAAAATCACTCTACAATATTAACCTGCAAAACACCAAACATATATATACGTGTGAATACTATATATCTACAATTAAACTGTATTAATTAGAATCATTACTAAAAACGAACGTTACAAGAGAAAATCAAGCCATTGATATGGGCTTAATTAATTATTAAGTAACCACCTAAACATAAAAACCCCAAAACCTAAAACTTTGTGTACAAGTATGTCTAATAATAAACCCACCTTCTCACCAAACCAAATAGAAGAACTGTGTGTAAATAATTCTTGCACAACTCACCACCAGTGTATATTTATAGATTTCAGAGCTCATATGATCTCCTATCAATCTGAGCCACCTTTTTGTACTTCTATTTGGATTTAACTGCAATTTAATCTTCACCTTCAAAGCGTGCATATATATATATATATATATATATTATATTTAGACATAATATATACAATATACGTATTTGAAAAAACGAATAATAGTACATATTGACATATTTGTATGACAATAATGACATACCTTATTGTTCTTACTCTGATCAAGGTGAATAATGTCCTATACGTAATTCTAGATGAAACATGACCTACATCTATGCATACAAGTATATATATGTATATATATATAGAAACATATGTCCGTATATTTATTTATTTGTATATTGGACTATAAGTAGATGAAGATTGACTTGTGATTGTATTTAGGTTTGGCATTGATGGGGTGTGATACTGGCTTTAACGTGTTGTACTAGAGGGGTACTTTTGTCTTTTCAGTGGAAAGAAAAAGGTTAAAACTGTCGTAATAGTACGATCGTGAAGACATTGATTTGTCAAACCCATGTTATTGGTTGGCTCGACCAAACTTTGACCTTAAACAGTCTTTTCCGGTATTTGGCCAACCAAGTAGTCAAACTGTATTCATCCGTTGAATAGATTGGAGAAAATATATAATTAAATCAAAGGTGTCTAAATTAGTCATTACGTAGTTTTTCAATTTGGTTGAATTTTTGTGTGGAAAGAAAAAAAAAACAAATTTAGGCAACAAGGTTTGTTTTTCTTTAGTTGAATATTATTAGAGTGGAACAGAAACTAATTTAGGAACCAGAAATTGGACTTCCTAAGCTTACTTTGAGAAGAAAAAAATAGTACTTTGTAATTTATTTATTTTTTAATTACTTTTAATGAGGTGGAAATTAAGAATTTGCATTTCTTTTCTTTGCTTTTTTTTAAAAATTTGTGTCTGTAAAGGGTTCTATTTATTCTTATTTCAATTAATTGTAGGAATGCCTTGATTACGAATTGGAAAGGTCAAATTTGTAACAATGGTAACTATAACAACAAAAAAAGAGAAAGAAAAAAAAAAACACAAAAATATTTTAATTTTTTAAAACGAGCTAAATGCTTAAAAGGTTCTATGCAAATTGCAATGAGAAAATTTTTGGGTTTTTATTTTTTCTTTTTGTTTTTGGCTAAATATGCATTGAAATTCCAGTGCACCAAGTACTGCCAAAGGAAAGTTCTCATGTACCTCTTTCCAAGTACATTCCTCGGATAGAAACTCCCATATTGTAGGTCTTTTTTATTTTTATTATTATTTGGAATAAAAGAAGTGTTTTTATCGATGGAGTTATCAAAAAATTACTGTCAATAATAACCATTGTGGGGTTTGGTGACACAATATAATAAGTATTTTTTACAATTAAATATTTTTTAATTTTTATTGTGACAAAATTTTTTTTTAAATACTTCTATTGCTAATTTTACAATAATATCCTTTAATATGATGTTTTCATATTTGATAATAGCAACTTTATTAAGGAATGAGGGTAATTGTCTTTATAAAAAATTTTAAGGACAAAATTATCTAATAAAAAAGAGTTACCCAAAATATTCAACTTCTACTTAGCACAGAATTTTAAAAGTTCCGAATTCTAATTTAATTCAAAAGCTCTATTGAAATAATTTAGTAACCATTCAAAATACTTATAATGGTTACCAAACACATTTAAATACAAGTTTTTAAAATAAAAACACTTTTCAGTAGCAAAGAAGCAATCCAACAGACTCTAAATATGTATGTATCTAGTTATTTTGCATGCCTCTACTAAATAATAATTTAAGAAGATTGATCAGTTATTGATCCTTAGGTGCTACCAAAAGTTATAATTCAATGGTATTTGCTCTACTTTTATATTTTTTTTTTTTTTTTTAAAAAAAAAAAAAAAGAA